TGAATTCACTTACTGAGAAAACGATCTGTATTTCAGCGGCAGCATAGTTTCTGTAATTTTTGGAAACTAATTTAAGTTCTAAGAGCAGAAGCCGTGGCTTGTCCTGCTCTTTCCCGTAGGGCACCTGGCTGAAGCTTAATCAATATCCTGTGAGTCACTGGATTCATTCATTGGAACCAGCATCAGCATCTTCTCTTGAGCGTTGCAGGCAGCTACTGGCAAAGGATGGGGAAGATGTGGCCATACAATAGACTGCATGTCTCAGAGTCACCACCTCCCTCAAAAGGAAGGAGAGAAAGCCCTGATGGATTTATGGGGAGATAGAAACTGAGGAGAAGGGTTCGTGCGAGATGGTAGGAAGGGGGCTGAGTGTAGGGGCGGCAGCAAAGATTAGAAGCAGTCAAGTCACTGGGACAGAAAGAAGGATTGAGAGTTGGCCATAGTCACTCAACAAATATTTATCACGTGCTTAGCACGTTCCAGGCCTTGTTCTGGGGACCGGGGGTGCAACAGTGGACAAATAGAACTGATTTAAAGCGAAAGCATTTTGAGGATTGGGTTGTTTTATTTACCTCTCTCCTTGTGCCCTTGTAGTCCCAGGAGGCCAGAAAGACTTGGATTTGTAAAATTTATATCCCACCTTGTTCTAAAAAAAACTTAAAGCAACTTACAAATGTGTGTACAATTCATGAAAAGATTATAAAATTGACGTAGAAGAGATAGGTTAATAAGTTTAAAAAAATTTAAAAAGCGTCGGAACCCAAAACCCAGCCAGGAATAAGGCTGGTTCCTGGGACACAATATGCGCCCTTGGAATCCCGGACCCACAACAAGGGAGCCACAGATGGGACGTTCAGCTTTTCAGTGACTGAACCACAGTGGGTGATGCCACCACCCACTGAAACAAACAAACAACCACAGTTCTTTGGAAGAAGAACAATGAATCCTAATACTAAAACCAGAAAGAGATCTCTCTAAGAATCCTCCAAGAACAAGACGCCCTGTGCATCTGCTACAGGATCGACCACCAGCAAAACGCCGCTCTGATGAGGCTGGGAGCTGTCGCCTTGAATCCAAAGGCGACTCTTGTGAGTTCATGTTGCATCTGCAGGGGATCACAAGGGAGAGGATGCCCGTGGTCAGTCAGTCCTTGCAGCTGTATTCAGCAGACCTTAGACACATGGGAAGGTGTGGCTATCGATCCTGCATGTGTTTCCTGAGATAAAGAACCTTAATGCGATTCACAGAATCGCTGGAAGCAAGGCAGGGCAAGATAAGAAGGCTTGAAGCTAGCTTCCTGCAGAGAAATGAGTGTTTCTAAACAAGATCAGAACAACCTCGGACCAGGCCATTTTGCTCACCTGGCTCCTCACACACGTGTGGGCTTGCCCATAGTGTGCTCTGATGTGGGTGAGGGAAGACCAGAGAGAGGATGGAAACGTTCTGTCAGTTAGAATAGGATGAATAAGTCTGGAAGTGAGACTGCTTTGCCTATTCAGTAGAAATCATCCAGAGCATCTTTTTTTAGGGAAGTATTGTTCAGTCAACTGGGATATCTCTGGATGAGATACACGGAACAAAGTTAAGCTGCGTCTCCATGTGTTTCTCTCCATGTCTCTCTCTCTGATTTTAGAAAACAATAAGACAGGGTAGAAATTGTGAAGGAACTTTGGTCAGTCATTATAAGGCAAAAACCTAGACTGAAAGACCCCTAGGAGTGAAGATGAATGTATAGATATAGAATCTCACCACCAACCTGGATGGGTAGTTTTGGGTACCGAGGACTCGCCTCACACACACGCATGCACACGCACACACACACTCTTCCTCTTCACCCAGACTCTCCCTACGTTGTGTGGAGCACAGGTGGGCATCTGACAAGGGGAGCAGGTCCAGAGGCTGGGCTGCACCATTCTGATGTCCTCTCTCTCGCTCACTCCTATTTGGAAATGGGCAACAGAGAGACTGAGGCATTGGTCCTGGAGCTAGGGGATAATGTAGGCCCCAGCTGGAGTTTTCCCCATCATGCTTTGGCAAAACAAAGAAAGCTGGTATGCAGAGAGAGAGAAGTGCATTAGAGGCCCAGGGAGAAACAGAGGCCGGAGGTACGTGGCCTTAGACACACCCCGGGAGGGGGAGAGAGGGAAGGGACGGGAAACCTTGGTCCTCCTGGCTTTCCAACTTCTGGATCTGCCCCACGGGCCTGAATGCACTTACTGTCCTAGTGTCCTAGTGTCATGGGTGATGCCATTAAGTTTAAAGTGAGTTTTTGTTTCTCATATTAAATGCTCCCTGGCCAAGATATTAAGTAAAACAGGGAGCTTTCCTTTGAGGTAAAGGGGAGAGGATGAATGGATACGGCATAAATATATTTTATGTTTTTATATATTTATGTATTTTAAAAAGGAAATAGCAAGCATATTTTGTAGGGGGCAGCTATAAAGCTTGCTAAAAAGGGGGAAAAAAATCTGAAGCGAAGAGCTTCCAGCCCAGTGTGGATGTGTGTGGCGGGATAAGATTTCACCGGTTCCATTTGCCGTGCTTCTCTGCGCCCTGTGCTCAATCCACGTCTCACCTGCCCTCCGAAAGAGACCTCTGCCCGGGCCACGTGGCTCCACATAAGCTTTGGGGAGAAGGGGGTGACTATGGCGAACTTGAAAAGTGATGTTAATTCCATAGTCGCTAGTTTAGGTGTGAGACAGAGTCAGATACAATCTTGCAGGATGCTGGAAAATTCCTAGGATGGGGGATGGGCAGGAAAGGAGAAGAGGTGCCCCTACATTAAACCTAGAATCCTTGCTGGAGTAAGGACCGTCTTCTTCCAGCACTAGAGAACAGTGGGGAAACTGAGTCTGTGCCGAGTTGTCTCATTGCCGTCCAGGGGAAGCCCAAGCTGACAGCAGGGAGCAGGTTGCCCAGCAACTGACTTGCAGGAGAGACAATGCTGTGGGCCCCAAGACCTTGCTCAGGCCTCATCTGACCCACACCTGTGGAAAGTCCCTCCTCCCATCCCTTTTCAGGAGGGGGAGGGGGGGGGGTGGTGGTGGTGGGGGGGGGGGGGGAATGTGGCCGCAGCCTATGCACCGCCCGGGGGCACCCCCGACCTGGACAGGGTGCCAGCCTCCCTCCCGCTCTTTCAGACAGATTAAACAGCTTTACTTGGCATTATTTAATTAAGCTCACGGTTCTTAAAACCTTTTGTGAAAATTGGAACTCTGGAATAACGGTTGATTTTTTTGCAATTTATGTAGTGAAGGAATCTCATCTGATTAGTTTGAGCTTTTCACTGGCAAATTTTTAAAACTCTGTCTTTAATAATAAATTGAAGCTTTAAAAAGAAAATAAGGATGGAAAGTCTTGAGGATATCTTTTTCTGCTCTCAACCGAAGATCAAGAAAAAGGGTTTTTCTGGCTTTTTTTACATTTGCTGTCCCCCAATCTTCAGCGCCTTAGGCACGGCTAGATCCATTGTAGATGCAAGATAAAATCTGTCTGAATGGATGGAAAAGGGTTTATTAATCGTGTTTTGGGAAGAATTCTGAAGGATACCAGCATAAGCAAAAGTGTTTATTCACTCTTTAGATATTTATGCAGAAAATTCACCATCTGGTCTTCAGTTCAGCGGGCGGTGGGTCATGTGGCCAGGGGGCCATGGTGTCAGGAAGGACAGTGGCACAGAAAGCTGGGTGGTGGTGGCAGAGGGCGGCACCTCGAGAGAGACCTGGAGGGGCACGTCACTGTACGAAGCAGAGCTTCCCGGAGAAGAGGGCCTTGTGGGCGAGGCCCAGGCAGGCTGAGCTGCAGCAACAGCCAACCACCCGGACACAGTGGCCTCACCCTCGTCACACTCCCATGCAGGTCACCAAGCCTGCCTCTGCTTTGTAGCCTCGTCGTCTGGATCCCGCGACCTCCAGGGCTGCAGCGCGAGAGGAAGACAGAGCTAGAGGATTGCGTGGGATGGTCTCAGGACCAGGCCTGAAAGTGGCGTGGGTCACTTCATGCTCCATCCCATCGGTCAGACTCACTCTCGGCCCCAACTGCAAAGGAGGCTGGGGAGTGTGGCTTAGCTGTGTGTCTAAGAAGAACGTGGTAGAGAGCACAGAGCATCGGCTGGTGAGTCAGTGGGGACAGGTGACAGCAAAGGAGCAGGGCCAAGAGAGCACCCACGTGGCAGCAAGTAAGTGTACACACCAGCTTCTCTCGGGGTCTCTGGCCTGGGGTATGCAACAGACACTATCCTTCTCTGTGTTAAGACACACTCTTTATTATACTCGGCTAAATGGAAGGATATCAATTTAAGTGACATCAGTGAGCTGTGGCATCCTGGAATTCATACTCTGAACTGGATGAGATGCACTTTTTTGCACAGGTCAAGTCCACGACAAACTGGAACCCGAGGAGACTGCGACGACAGGGTGAGCACTAAGGGTGCGTGTTTCTGGTGAGGCATGGGCTCCAACCATGCGAGGGGCCCAGGCCACCTCCTCCATGCACCGCCTCACAAACCAGACAGGGGAGCGAGGGCACAAAGGCTCCTGGGAGCTCCCAGTCTCTCACTCTCCTTCAGAATTAGACCCACAGCCCTCGGGGAGGATGAGGGACACATCTACCTGGTAACTCATTCTGTTCACGTTCAGAGCGGGTGGAAATCCCTCAGACCAAGATCCTGGCAAAGAAACACAGTCGGTGAAGCATTTGCCTTTTCATTGCTGCGTGGCCGTCGCAGCACTGCAGCTATCCCCCAGGGGTCTCCACAGCCACGGTCTGCCACTGTCCCTTAGGCCCTGCAGGGGACACTCTGGAGATTTCTGACTTGGGCTCATTCGGGTTTTCCAAATAAGACAGCGAGTCCCAGCTCTGGGCGTGACACCGCAGGTCTCTGGTTATCTAAGGGTGTGGGGAGTCACCAGGGCTGTAAATTGAAGTATTCGTTTACTGAGTTTACATCAGCATTTTTATGAGCAGGAGGATGTTTCTCCAGGTGGCATTTCATCCCAGAAGCCAGGGCCCCCGGCTTGCCCAGTCTTTCTCTCTGCCCTTTAGTTTCAAGGAGCAGGTCCTTTTTCTCTAAACTGACCAGCATTGCTCTGTCCTTTGTCACTTGGAGGAGGGGCTTACCTGCTGAACCAGCCATCTGCCCTGCGCGGGGAAGGATTGCTATGTTCAAGGGGGTTGGGAATCGGGGTGTGACCAGATCAGACACTGAGCCCCCAAATATTGCAATAGAAGGGTCAGGGACGGCCGGCAGTTAGGAGAACCGGGCGGCCGGCCGGGCTGGTCTTGAAGCAGCATTTCTGTAACAGCCACCTTTTTACCTATAGCACTGATCTTCTGGGAAGGGCAGAGGTTGAGGGAAATTGAGAGAGCTCGGAGCTCCCCGCTCCCCACCTTGCTTCTCGCTCAGGTTTCCATAGGTAAATGGTGAGCACTGACATTTATTCTAACGGCCAGCCGCGCTTCCCTGCAAGCTGGCGCGCCCTAGCGCGGCCTCTGTGACCCCCTCCTCCCTCCACCAGAGGTGGGAGGGGCAGCAGCTGCCGCCCGCCTCTCTCCCTGAAAAGGGGTGGAGGAAGAGGGGAGGAATTGCCCCAGGATTGTGTGATGTGTGAGCCAGCAGCCTAACTGATCAGCCTTGAGTGCGCATAAAGTGGCGTGAGAGCAGCTGCTCTGGAGGAGCGCGCCGGACCGCGAGAGCAGACGGGCTGTGTAAACTGTAGAGTGCGCTCGCAGCGGCAGGAGGCCTCCCCCGCTCCTCCTGACCGCCCGCCTGCACCTGCCTGGCCCCGCAGCTTCCTCCCACCGCGCGGCCGCGGGGTCCGAGCGCTCGGGCCGGCCGGCTCTCCAGCCTCCTGCCCTCCTCCCCGCATCATCCGCGCGGCGTCCCGGACGAGGGTGTCCGCGCTCCTGGAAACGAACCCACGGTGGCCGCGTTTGCAGCCCCAGAGCCAGCAGGGGGCCCCCGTCCCCGCGAGCTGTGAGCCTGCTGGCCGCCCCCGGGGAGGGAGCTCGGACACGCGTGCTGGACGTCGTTCCCAGGGCCTTTGCTGCCCACAGAGCCGGCCGCAGGGGAAGGTCCTGGCCACATCCTTCTTCCCGGGCTCCGCACGCTTCGTCTGGGAGAAGCGAGGGAGAGACTCCCGGGCTGGTCCGCGGCCGGTGCATCTGCTTGTTTGGGGCGCGACCCCCCGTGCGGGCCCCGCCGCCTCGGTCTGTCCCGTCCCGGGGCCTCGTTGGTTGCCCGGAGGTTCTCACAGGGTCCAGCTGCTGCTCCCGGTTTTCTCTTTTTACAGAACAGAGACTTGCTTTCTCAAGAAGAAAGCTTGGTGTTAAAAGTTTTTCAAACCTCTGAGGGGAGAGAGAGACACAGAGAGACAGAGAGGTCAGTGAGAGGGTGGGGACCTGGCCTTCAGGGTCTCAGGCCAGTTACCCACAGCAGATGGTCCTTGCGATTCCCGCCCTCTCCTCTGTGCTTCTGGGTTTAACCATTTCGTGAAGACTTCCAGAACCGGGCTCCACTAGCCCGCTACGCAAACGAGCATCCCCTTCATCACTAGGCTGACCTGTGGCCTTCCGGGAAGTCTCCAGGTGTGTTTCCTGAATGCAGGTGAGGGACCAGCGTCTGGAAACTCAGGGTGTGCTCTGATGTGGACCCGTGGGCTGCAAATGACCATCTGAGCAAGTGAGTCTCGGCTATACAAACAGTCGTTTGTTTCTTATAAATTGTTCCAAAAAGAAAACAGTATTTTTTAAAAATGAGCACTTTCAAAACCCTTGAGTGAGGCTGCGTACGGAGCGGCTGTGGCCGGGGCCCATGGTGTGTTTTCTTTCTCCTCTGCTGCTTCTCGAGCGCCTTCCTGAGGGCCCCGGGCCGAGGCTAGAGGAGGTCAGTTCCAGGCTCAGCAGTGGCCTTTGCTCAGCTGCAGACCAAGCTCATGGGTAATTCAGGAAAAAAAAATTGACTCGGGTCATGCCTTGTGCCAGCCAGACCAAAAACCAAGATGACACAGTGATACCATCGGAATCCCAGCATGTGAAATAATTTTCATAATTGGGAGTTAGTGCTCGAGACGCTAAAGTTGGAAACAACCCCAAAGAATCATTTTGCACTAAGTTTACTAGGGAGGATCATTTTTTGTGATTCCTCAGTGGTCCTAGCAATTATGTCTGTTGAAAGTACTGTGTTTCTCCTTTGCGAGGTTTGCAAATTTTGACCAACGGGCCTGGATAATAATTTTACACAAACCTTTTTAAAAAGTGCATTGATACATTTTTCGTTGCTCATTTGATGCACTATCACTTTAGGAAAGCGATTCCGGCTCTGTTTTCTGGTATCTGGGGCAACAAATGTGTGGATATATTGGAAAGAGGATTTGTTTGTATAGAAATACTTTGCCCGTGGCTTCGATCCCTCCCCGATGGAGCAGGCGTTTTGCACTTTGGTGTCTCTGTGGAGCAGCAGTTTGTCCATTCTAGTCAACTGCCTTGACTGCCCGGGCAAAGCCGTTTCCCAGCGGGTAAGACCGCCTCCCAGAGCTTCCTTCCACGCCACCGACTTACCAGCCTGTAGCCTTCGTACATCATTTGTCAGCGTGACCACAGAGGGTTTGGGGCTTTAATTTGTGCATCTAAAAGGACGGGCAAAATTACCCATCTCCAAGGACCAAAGCAAGTCCACTCCCTTACTTGCAAAATTAGAGAAATGTCTGCTTTCAGTACATCAGATCCGCGGCCACGTTAGTTGTCTCTGTGTCTTTAGATTTTGCAAAAGGGAACTGAAATCCAGCAAGTCGTATTAGGAGCCCGTTCAAAAAATGAACAAAAAAGCAAATGAAAACAACCCAGAAGGAGGTGCTGTACTTTTCACTCTGCGTTTTGTAGGCATAAGTCCCTTCTTTATAATTTGCAATCTTTTCTGAGAGGTGGTGGATTTTCAGTTCAGAGGCAAACAATATCATGACGAGACAGCCGCAGGAGCCTGCAACAGAGGAACAAACAAGATGTCGGGCAAATATTTCCTGACTGCAAGGGGCACAGAAGAGGGTCAGTGTGCAACCAAAGAAAGCCTTCTACCGTCATCCTCATTTGCATTCTTCTGCAAAAATATATCATTTCCAATTCATTGTCATGAGCCTGATTCTCCAGCCAATGGGTGGTAGTGCCTGGGTGAGAAGATTTCGGAGGGGGCGGGTTGGGTAGAATGAGCTGATCTCACAGGGACTGAGAGACGATCCCCTTTGCGTGAGGAGAAGCTGGATTGCTGGGCACCTTGAAAGCACCATGGTGGAATCAGGCCACAAAGCCGCCGCGGCTGTGATGTGGCTTCAAGAGAACCAATTTCTCTGAACTTCACAGCCTTGCAGGATAAATGCCAGTCATCTGGCCCCTGTGAAAGGGCTTAGGGCTCCCTTCAAAAGGATTGCCATGACTGCCCCCTCCTCCAGCTCCCACCTGGCCACAGCTGCCCAGAGGAGTCCCTGAGCCGAGGGAGCCACGGGGAAGGTGTAGACGCAGCACCTACCTGTTCTCCTTGTTTGTAACAGGACTCGGGATTTTCACCTGGGCACGCGGCTGCCTTGAATAATGGCTACATCGTTTTGCTGAAAGTGGCAGGGATGTAGGGGCAGGAAAATTTCCTTGAAGGATGTGTGTTTTAGGGGCCTGCCCTTTCTTTCCCCATTCCTCCTCCCTGGCGCTGAAATATGGATGCGATGGCTGGAGCTCCAGCTGACATTCTGGACCAGGTGGCCTCAGAAATGGAAGCCATGAACTATGGAAAAACAAGAAAGAAGGAGTCTGGATCCCAGACACGTGGAGCCACCAGGCCAGCCCTGGACTTCAACCTCCAGGTTTTAACGTGAGAGAAAAATAAACACCAGTTTTGTTTAATCCACTGTTATTATTTTTTCCCTATTTATCACTCATTTATAGGCTAATTGTAACTGGTGCAGTGTGGTTTGGGTGAGATCTCTGTGGGACAGGAGCACTCCAAGCTGAGTGATATGAGGCTTTGTGAAATTAGGTGATTTTAATCTCCAAGTCTCAATTTCCTTGTCTGTAAAATGTGGATGATAGAGACGATGCGTGATTAGCATTTTGCTAATTAGAATTCACACATATAAATGCTTACTAATTGGTAGCTATTCCACTGGTTTTTATGTCTTCCTTTCTTCTTGAAAGTCCTTACCATAACCCCTTACCCACCTCCTCATCCCGAGAAAACCTGACTCCTTCAGGGAGGCAACCCCAGGAATGCGTGACAGCACCTGTTCCATGAATACCCTCCCATTAGGTTTATGACGCCCGTAGAAGGGGTTCGTGCTTTTTGTTCTTTAGTTACAGTTAATTCAAATACCTGGCAGCAGCAACATAGTGGCTTGAGTTCCCATTCGTTAATTCACTCATTCATGTATTCAATTAGACCATTACATGCAAAGCACGGGGATTGGGGAGATTTACACATTAAACAACATGCATATGGTTTCTGCTCTAGCAGAGTCTAACCGGGCAGGGAACATGTATAAAACAATTATTAACCAATCCCAGTGAGTGCAACGGTGAGCAGGCGCGGACAGCTGCTGCTGAGAACGGGCAGCATCCAGGAAGGTTCCCGGGAGGAAGCTGCAGGAAAAGTTAGTGGAACAAAGGGAGGCCGGACTGGATGGGGAGAGCGTTCTAGACACGTGGAGAGACAGTGCGAAGGACGCCTCATTCCTTTGCGAGACCGAGTTCAGATGGGGTGGACCTAGAGACTGGAGCCTGCAAGAGGGGGAGCAGGAAGGGCCACGTCACATTTTTTCTATTAGAATTCCATCCCATCAGCTTCATCATCATCCTAATACCCCCCCCCCAAATAATCAAATGATATAATTTTCTTGAAACTTCCCTTCCCACCAGCCTCAGAGCAGTGGTTGAGAATGTTCCTTTGTAAAATTTGTCAGCCTATTTTTGCATTCTGAGCTTAAAACCAGAGCTCTCCCCTGGCAAAACCGTATTATTCCATTATTGTCACATCCAACAAAAAAGCCGCAGTGCTGTTTTCTCTTTATCTTTTATCTGAAAATTGTGGAGAAAATGCCATTGCTTTAACCAGAGAGCCTTCTTTGTCGCAGGAGCTGGTGAATTTCCGACAGAAGCGAAACACTGTATTTCCTTGGCGCTTGAAAGGAAAATTCCAGCGCTGGTTTCCTTTTCAAGTTGTTAAATATTTTAAAGGTGCCACTTTGTTAAGGAGACAGCATGCAGCGAGCCTGCGTTTGCAGCCTGGAGGTGAAAGGCACTCGGGGCACCCGCAGCTTGGCCACAGCACATGGTGGAGTAGTTGTCAGAGTCAGAGCACAGAAACCCAGCCTGAGTCTCTGCCAACCCCTCAGCGACTGCTAATAGATGTGGAGGGAAACAATTTGCTGTGAAGTTAGGCTAATTTTGCTTTTCTCTGTTGATGGCTTTGAAAGAGACATGGGATCAAGGAAAACTACTTATGACTTATGGACCAACAAAATCACATGAAGAGTCTCTCTTTGTGGCCCGGCTGCTGGGACATGGAGAGAAGTGTGTAAGGAATGTGAGCAATGGTGAGAACAGGGCTTTGCAGTTTCCAGCATGACCCTTAGACTCCAGCAAGGGAGGTCCTGCTATGGGCCCCACATGTAGAGGGTCCTGCTCTCTCTCTCCTGGAGAGATCCCCCCCCACCCCCACACACACGCACAGGGGGAGGAATCCTTGAAGTCAGCGGGATGGGCCCATCTGGAGTCCCTGACACACATTCTAGACCGTACTCCTGGGACCCGGGAATTCCCTCCCCCAACAACCCTGAGTGCGTTTCCAGGGCTGGCGTGGGCACCTCCCCTGGCTCAGCCCTCCAGAGGTGGACTCTGGCTGAGGCCCAGCCCTGAGGCCTGAGGGTGGCCAAGGAGCAGCTGTTTCGGGGGCATGATCGGAGCTCAGATACACAGTACAGTGTCCACATGCACACACTGGGACCTTTATGGTGTGGCTGGAATCAGGCATGGGCAGAGAAGTGGACAGACAGGGGCCAGCTCTCCTCCCATCACCACATTCAGGCACAGAATTCCCAGGCCTCAAGAATTCCAAACTTGAGGGGCAGGCCCGTGGCAGAGTGGTTCACTGGGGCAGCCCAGGGTTCACTGGTTCAGATCCTGGGTGTGGACGTCGCACTGCTCATCAGGCCATGCTGTGGCAGTGTCCCACATAGAAGAACTAGAAGGACCTACAACTAAGATATACAATTATGTACTGGGGCTTTGGGAAGGAAAAAAAAGCAAAAAGGGGGAAAAAATGGGCTCAGGGCCAATCTTCTTTACCAAAAAAAGCATTAAAAAAAAAGAATTCTAAATTTGAATCTGGCCTTCCAGCTCCTGATGGAGAGATGTTTGTCAAGGTGAACAGATAGAACACGTGTCTTGAATAGTTTATAACATTGACGTGTTTAGACACCCGGTATGTGGGCTGTCATTCACACTCCACCCACGGCTTCACGAATGTCAGCGTCAGGCCTGCACGCTGCCCTCTTCCTTTCCCCAGTTGCCCACGTACACCAGGAGCCATTTGGACAGATTGCCCACGTGTCTGTCCCTCTGACCCACCCCGCTGCTGCTCACCAGAAAGGTTAGAGTCAGCTAGGACTTGGGAAAACCTGCCAAGCCTGGCTCAAGCTCAAGTCTGGAATGCAACCAGGCACCGGCCCCAGGGTCTGCGGCCCAGGGTCTGCCTCAAAGACCAGCTACTCTCCTTTCACCAGTTTGATTTCCCACCATCTGGCTGGCACTGCCGTGGGTTTTTTTCTTTTAATGACTTTGATTACTGAGTTAATTTCTGACTGAATAGGATAGCTGAGTTATGAGCTGTCACGCTGTGAATTATCAGTCAATTAACAAACATTTGTAATGCGTAGACACTGCACCTCGTGACTCTCCTCCGGCAGCTGTGGCGCCTCTCGCCTCAGTCCTTACAGCATAGGGAATGAGCTAGAAGCCAGCAAGAAGCTGCTTCTTCACCCCTGGCTGTCCCCGAGGGGGAGGACCCTTTTATGGGTGGGCTCTTCTTGCCAGGATAAATCTGTGGGAGTCCAGGTACCATGCGTTTCCATAGAAATGTGTCCTCAAAGGTGGAAAAAAACCTCTGAAATATTCTCCTATTATCATTAAGGCTGTGTTTTGGGAAATAATAAATTAGAATTTCAATTCCGTGTAGAGTAATGGCCAACATTTCCAGAAAGCGAACACATCATCTTTAAAGCCCCTCATAGATGACAAATATGAGAGGCAGCCCATTTCCTCTGCAGAATGATAAGGTGATAATTTCCTTCTGTAAGGAGTGCTGCGAGATGATAAATGGGGGTGGGAAAGCCACAACTTTGCAGGTGTAGATGTGAATTTTCTCTGAAATTATGCAATCTCACTAGAAAGTCGATTACTAAAGGTCAGGTCGCCGGCAATGACTTCTTCCCCAGATGGGAGCAGTTCTGGCTCCATCTTGCTCTAGAAACCAGTGCTACCATCTAGAAAAGGGGGAGGAGAAACAAAGCAAGTTAATACCTAAGAGTAGACTCTGCGGTCCTGATGGAGAGCATCTCAAAGAGCAGGGGTGGCTGAAGGAATGCCGCCCGCTGGGGTCGGCGATCTTTCCTCACCTTCTGCTAAGGTGAGTTGAAGGGTCACATCTAACTTCAGTTTTCCGAATGTCGTGTTAGTGAGAAGGATGATTTGTGTAAAGAAGAAATTGTCTGAAAGCACAATTTTTTTCCAATTTGAATTGATTTCCAGAAAACGAGAATGTCATTTGTGACCAGGAAGCGTGCAGAGCCACTTTTGTTTCATTCGTTTGCTCAGCAAATATTTATCGGGTGATTCCTGCGCTTTTCTGGGCACAGGGGACACAGCACCGAGCAGAATCCCTGTCTGCGCGCAGCCCTCAGCGGTGGGGGCCCTGGAGAGAGACCGTAAGGAGAGAAGTAA